CTTAGGCTGTTCTGTATGAGACATTCTGGTCAGAGCTCAGAAAACCAGAAAATGAGTAAAGACAAGGGTTGGGAAGCTTCTGCTGGGCAGAAGGACTGCATAGGTTGCTGAAGTCCAGACAATGTGTGTTATGGCTTGGCAGAAAGTGTGTCTGCATTTTGCTCATGTCCAGATATTTTGCCTGAGACTGAGATTAAGGGCATTGGACTAATTAATCTGGCAAAAGAAATTTCAAGGCAGTTGAATGTTTAGAGGATGGAATGGCTATTGTTGGGGGCTTTTAGCCAGATTTACATAGCAAAGCAAGAGCAAAGAGGCCATCATGATGATTTAAAATATTGCTTCACTAGAAAGCTCTAGTAAAGCAGTAGGTTATAAAAATAGAGCTGAGATCTCAACTGCTGAGAAGAAAAAAAAAAAGAATAGAAAAGATGGCCTGCAGGCTCCCAGGAAGCAGTGGGTCTTTACCTTTTGTAGCCTCAAAACTGAAAAAGTTAAAGACTTTGCTTTGAGGAGAAAGCTGCAGAGAACCATGTTCCAGAATGGCGGCAGCCACACTATACTCCAGAGTGACAGTGGATGCCACCCAAGGTTTCAAACTGGTGTTGGCCATACCAGGTTCTAGAATGACAGTGGCATAGAGAATCTGTCCCTCATGATCAGGTTCAGAGTGCTCAGTGATCCAGGCACTTGATCCCTACATCCAAGAGAGAAGAAAGCCTAGCTACTGCTTCAATTGTAGGTGCTCCTCAGCATCATCTACATGGCACTAGTTTTAGGCCCATGTTGAATGCAAGAGTTCTGAGGTTAATGCAGCTTCCACACCAATTTCAGAAGGCCTTGGAAACCAGGAAGTATGCCTCTAAGAGTGCAGTATGTGAAGCTGTGTGATGTCAAAGGTGCAGTGGTGAACTCAGAAGTCTGGAAAAGCCAGGAGCATGGATCATTTAAAGAAATCTGCAAGGAGGGAGCAAAGCCAGCCTAAGAGAGTAGTTGTGCAAAGCTACAACTACTAGAAGTGCTGTAGGGCCTGAAACACACAAGCCTTTTTGGAGCTCACAATTTGCCACAGATTGCTTCAGATGTTCTGCATGGAACTCCAGGACTTAACGTTGGCCCTGCTAGATTTTGCTTCATTTGCAATCCTTTATATCCCATCTCTATCTTTTGGAATGGAAATTTTTATCTTGTGCCACTGAATGATGAAAGTGTTTAACTTTTCATTTGCACAGGGGCTCACAGCTAAAAGTTTGCCTTATATCTCAGAGACTTTGGACTTGAGCCTTTCAGCAATGCTGAAACTGTTAGGACTTTGGCAACTCTTGGAGATGGACTAAATGTCTTTTGCATAAAGTATGTGCATGAGTCTTTGGGGGCCAGGGGCAGAATGTTATAGTCTGTGTCTAGATGTCCCTGAAAAGGCTCATACAGTCAGGGAGGCAAGCTTACAGAGTTTGTGAATGACTCATGGTCCAATGCTGGAATTAAGAATGTGAATGCCACACTCAAGTGGGATGTGGACTACATAGAATATAAAGTACAGAAAGAGTCTTCTCTCAATCTCCTCTTACACTGTTTTTGCTGCTTGAACTGTTGCCTTCTATTATGTGCTACTCTGCTTTGGAGCCATCTGATTAGGGAATGAAACTGCCACAAACTGTGAGCTAAATAAACTTTTCTTTCTCTACCTTTGGATGTCAGATATTTTGTCCCAGCAATGAAAGAAAAATAACCCCAACACCACTCCATCATTTTTCCAGAAGAAACAACAAAAATCACTAAAAATGAATATTCACTTTAAAAAGAAGTTCTGAGATAACAAAAGAAATCAATTTATAAAAATAAAAATTAGCAGACTGAACAAACTTTACAGATTATATATCTATATATCACTTATATAGTTTAAAAGTAAAAAATAGTGTCATATACAGATACATACTGACTTAGTGAAATATAAGCATACAATAGAAATCATACAAACTCCAGTGGTTAACTGTGGACAAGAAAGGGGGAAAGAGTGTGTCAAAAAATGTTTGCAGAACTGAACCAGATTGAAGGAGAATTGGATGCTTTTGCCACAAAGATATTGGAACAATTGACTGAAGCCTAAATAGGATTTCTAGACAAAGAATATACAAAACATTTTGTGCAATTTTACCTTTTTGCCAATATGAGATTACTTCAAAAAATTTTTGAAGAGAATGAGGTGAGAGATGTTTTAAAGAAGAAAATGTCAAAACTAGAACAAATGGAGGTAGCAAATAAGAGAAAACCAAAAAGGATTTGCTTAAGTAATTTTTTGTATATCATTTGATTAACCAATATAGGAATCTTAAAAGAGTAACAAACTGGGATGGGCTCACCACAAGATATTTTGATTATGACAGTAAGTAGGTGTTTGAAAATTAAGGTTAGGACTAAGGATGTCACAAAAGAATGAACTATATACATCTTGATGTGATCACATTATTCTTACCAATATATCTAAAAATCCACTATGTTGATAATATAAAACCTAGAAGTATACAATGGTTACTGCTCTTAAGGGGCTCATCTCTGGTAAGAGAAATGGAATCTATCTATGGGAAGTCTGATGAACCTAGTTCTAATAGATGCTGAATTTATTTTATTTATTTATTTATTTATTTTTATTTTAAAGAGATTAAAAGAGGACATAACAAAGCAGATCAGATCAGAACAATGCAAGTAAGACAGCATTTTACCACAAAACAACCCATAATTAACAGTAACTACTATAATGTCTCTTTCTTTGAAATAGTTAAGCATAGTTCATATACGATAGTATCAAACATAACAAAACAGTATAAAACCATTCAAGAGAATGAAAACATTACAGGGCTTTCAGAACCAAATAGCAGAGAATGAACAATGGCTACTATATTATCTCATTTTCCATAGAAAATTTGTTTATACTATCACATATAATAATATCCAATAAGATATAACAGGATAGAACCAAAGGAAACTGAAAAGCAAAAGCATAGTAGGATTTCAGAGTAAGATGATACTAAATCAGCTCTGGCTATTCTAATGTGTTGTTTTCTTTAAAATAGCTGTTTATACTATCACAGATAATAAAATCAAACAAACTAGGATAAAACTATTCCAACTACTGAATGCAGACATTATAAGGCTTCAGAGCAACGTAATGGGAAATCATGATTACTATAAACTCTTATGTACTCTTACCATTTCTTACACTAGAGAAACTGAATTTATTTTCAATCTTGGTCACATGTTCAAATTGACTGAGGGAGCCTATGTACAGCCTAGGGCCCGGTCACTCTCTACAGGTGGAATCCAGCCATCAGGTCATGCAGACTTTCCAGGTGGAGACAATGTCAACTCAAATTGAAGGAACATTGGCTGTACTCAGAGAATACCTAAGACCCTTTTTAAATCATTTGACAATGATTAAGGAAGGAGTTTAGAGGAAAGGAGGTGGAAATAAGATTTTGCTGAAAGAACTCCTTCTAAATACCTTAATGAGTTATGGTTTCTCTATAGCAAACAAAAGGTATCAAAGGCTAAGAATAGGGTAGTGTGAGGAAGGCATTGTAAGGAGAATGGTAAATAAGATTATAGCTATGGAAAGCTCAAAAGAAAAAAATGTTTTTGCTGCTTTTCAAATCTGGAGAAATTTAAACACTTGAGGAAAAGAATGCAAGGTCCTTTCCCCAACAGTGGACGTGGTGGTATGATCCTTTTTTAAAGATGCACACTGAATATTCCAATTGTACCTATTTTAAAGATAGAGATCTGGAGATAGGTTAAGTACTTTTCCACATGAAGATCTAAAATACACAACAAACAGAAAATAGTATTTCCGATGAAATATCTTCTTTTCCATATTTCTGGAAATATAAGATGAAAGACATGGACTATGTCAGAGTCAGAAGATTTTATGATATTAGAGTTACTTTAGAAAGAGGTGGCTTTTGTCACTATAATAAAGAATAAATGAACACAAATACTTTTGTTATCTGTTTGTCTTTACAATGCTTTTACTGCATTTATCTTTCAGAATTTAATAACAGGTATTCCTTCTGTGACTGCTTTTCCAGTACTCAAGACCGAATGGGAGCTTACTTCATTGCCTGCTGGGCCTGCATTTTCCCAGGTCCACTGTATTAGTCAGTGCTCACTAGAGAATGAATATATGTATCTTTGCAAGGTAGGCTTACAATGGCCACTTGCAGAGTCAGGTGTGGAAGAATGCAAAGGCTGTGCACATTGGAGAGCTGAAGGAGCCACTCAAAAGTCAAAAGCCTGAAGCTCACTGTAGAGTCCTGTGCAAACCAGTATCAGGAAGGTGAAGAGTCTATCCTGGAAGACTGAAGAGTCTGCACTGGGAGCCAGGAGACAGACATTCTAGGGTACAGCAAAGACTGGAATTCTTCTGAAGAAACAAAAGCAACACTTCCTTCTTTTTTTCCCTATTTATTCCATTCGTACTAGAGCGTATTGGTTGGTGCTACAAGCACCCAGGGTTAGTCTTCTATCCGTTAAATTCATTCTGTCAAGCCCAGAACTATGCTAAACCAATCAGTATGTTTTTTACTCAAATTGTAATAACAGTTAACTAACACACCCACTGTAACAAAAGAACACAACCACACAAAATATAGGGTTTTCTTATTCTATAAATACCAACCAGCCCAGGCATGGTGTCACATGCCTGTAATCCCAGCACTAGGGAGGATGAGGCAGGGTGGGCACTGCAAGCTTGAGACCAGCCTCAGTTACAAAGTGAGCTCAAGGCCAGCCTGAAATGCACAGCAAGACCCTGTCTCAAAAAGACAAAATGAATAAATACCAACTGGACTCCTCTCACGCATGTGTATCTATTTGAACTCCAAGTCTAAACTGTCAAGGAGCTTGCTGAACAAGTTACTTGTAATGATAAGCTTTAGAGCATATTTCATATCCTATTCTCATTTATTATTAAAAAGTAGCCACAGTGAGTTGTTAAAACTTACCTTATCCACTCACCATCTTATACTTCATTGTGTCCCCAGCATGGGCCCCATACTTTCTAGAGCAGGAACCTGGTGTTCATCTGTAGTCCAGTGTGCAATTATTGCCGTAGTAAAGAAGTTAAAAAATTCTTGTGGCAGTAAAAAATTATAATGCTGCTGGGAGTGGAGAATATCCCAAAAGCTGTCAAATAATGGTGTTAAGAGTTTCTAGCTAGCTGTAGGGACACATGCCTGTAACTCCAGCACTCAGGATACTAAGGCAGGTGAATGGAGGCCAGCCAGGGCTACAACAGTGAAAGCAAGGCCAGCCTGATCTACATAGTGAGACCCTGTCTCAAAACAAATTTCTAAAAACTTTTTCAAGAGCTTGGTAACTCCAGCACCTGCCACACAGTGGGTACTCAGTACGCAGTGTAGAATGAACAGCGACGGAAACTAAATTCAACCCTAGCTTTGCTGAGTACCCAAACAGCCCTCAGAACCAGGGGGAACGCCAAGATATCCGGGCCTGTTGGTTCTAATTTCAAAGATGCTGTAGTCCCATGCTATAATTCTTGTATTTCCTCCTAAAAGGAGGAACTTGAGTCGCCCGCGCTCCGGATCCTTGGAGGCTCCCCGTGAGCGTGGAGACTGCGAGCGCCCCGCCCCCAAGCTTCCCCGCCTGGGGCTGGGTGGAGCTCCCGGCGCGCCCCGCGGCTGAGCCGCCGCGCGCCTCCAGGGGTCGCTGTTCCCACGGTAACCTCGACAGAGGCCCCGCCCCGCGCTGGGCGCTCGCTGCCCTCACCCGGGAGCCGGCCGCGCAGGGCAGTGCTGCCCGCCGGGGTCCAGTTCGCTAGCCGAGGCCCGCGTTGACGCCAGCGGTTGCTCTTCGGGGCCCACAGGACGGATTTCTGGGCGGCCGCGCGGGCGTGTGGCCTGCTCTGAGGCACCGCCCACCCCTCCCCCCCCACCGTCACGGAAACGACAGCTGCGGCGGCGGGGCCGGCGCCGCCTTTCTCCGCCGACCACGTCTGCCCCCGCCGCCACCGCGCAGCCGCCTCCCCGCTAGGTCCGCCGGCCGCAGCGCCCGGTTCCCTCCCAACATGAACATCATGGACTTCAACGTGAAGAAGCTGGCGGCCGACGCTGGCACCTTCCTCAGCCGCGCCGTGCAGGTACGCAGCTGGGGAGCGGGGAGAGGGAAGCGCCGCCGCCGCCCCGGGCCCCGCACCCCGGCTTCGGCCTGCCCGGCCTGGGGGGTGGGCGCGGCCGCTTTCCGCCCCAACTGTCGCACCCTTCCCCCGGGCCTCGAGGCGGGGTGGGGACCCGACTTGGCTGCGTCGCAGGCGCTGCCCCGCCCGCCTTTCGGATCCCCAGACGCGACTCGGGTGACGGCCGTCTCAGGCTGGCGGAGGCCTGGCGAGAACTCGCGACCGTTCTTGCGCCACCCCCACCCTTCCCAGTCTCTTCCCTACCAAGCCGGAGGAGGGAGTTTCCTTTTCCTGTCCCGCAACCCAGGGCTGCCAGCGCGGTCACCTCGGCCCTCTTTCCTTGGAAGGGCCGTCTGGGGCTTGGCAGCCCGCAAGGGAAATGGAGATCGCCTGTGGGTGTCCGGACTTGGCAGAGGACGCGCAGTTCAGGGGGGTCTTACCCATCCTCCAAGTGCGAAACCGCTGCTGTACAGCAAGGAGGGGTGGGGGACACCCGTGTTACTGTGGTTGTAGTTACTGGGATACGTTTCAGAGGCACTGTAAGGGGAAATTTCTCTTTACCTTCTCGGTATTTCACGATCAAGGAAGTGTCAGTGGTAGGGAACTTGGACAACTTTCCACAGTCCTCACCCACATTATGCTAACTCAGTTAAATCTACAAAAAGATGTAAATTTCACAACATGGATTATAAACGGTCTGATGTTAATGACAGAATATCAACAGCGTTCTTTTCTAAGGAGGAAAATTTTCTAAGATGCATATCAAATTAATACATGCAAATCTGTTCTGTCGATTTACTGCTTTCCTTGTCTCCTTTACCCCAGTTTTATTGGCACAGTTGATCTAGACTGTGCTTGGCAAAAGAATGGAAGAGTTACAGAAAGTTAATAGCTGCTTATATTATTAAAAAACGCTATGTCAGGTGTTTTGCTATACATTTGATATATTATCGCCAGTCCTGTCCCTTTGCCTGACAGACGTTATTAATACACACGCCCACCTTTATCTATATATGGTATACTGTATAAGGAAGCAGCCTCTAAAGTTAAATAACTTGCTTAACTTGCAAGGCTAGTAAATAACCAGAGGCTGTCTGACCTACTATTGCAGGTTGTTTTCTCCTTCTGGGTAAGTATTGTAGGTTTAAGATATATAGAATTGTCAGTGTTGTGGCCTAGAGAAGCCTTAAGACTCAGCTAGTACAATCTCAGATTTCATTATCAACAGCAAGTAGCACTTAAGAGATGGGAGATTCCTTCTAGCTTCAGATTTCCTAGTTTCTAAATCTACATGGTGAGTAACAAGCTAGTTGCCTTAACTCTTTTCCAACCAACCCTCACGAAAGCATGAGTAATTGAGGGCCCACTGATAATCATGTATTTTCATATGTAAGACACTCCTTTTATACCAGTTAGGGAGATACACCACCCATAGGGCAGGCAAAGATTATTGCGATTTAAACGACAGTGTTGGAAGGGGAGGTTCAAAAATCTATCTATACTAAGTCATGCTAAATCAGCTTGGCTTGGGAATATATTGTAAAAGAGATGAATCAAGGATGACATTATTTAAAAAGGAAAACATCTTAGGAGAAATAGACTGTTAAGGTATTCTTTTATATCGTCTGTTACTTTAGACATATATACTGAAATACTTACAGATAAACATAGTTCATCTGAGATTGCTTTAAAATATTTCAGAAGAAAAAAATGATGATAGTTAAAATATTAGCCTTGAGCCAGGGCATGGTGGTGCATGTCTGTAATCCCAGCACTGGGGAGGCTGAGTCAAGAGCTGCCTGAATTACCTTGTGAGACCCTGTCTCAAAAAAAAAAAAAGAAAAAAAAAAAAAACACACACACACAAGAATAGCAGAGTATTGATAGCAGTTGAAGCTAAGTTACTTGTTCATGAAATTTTATTACGGTATAATAGTTTTCATTATACAGTTAATATTTTTATATATGTTTTGCATTTCCACAGTTCTTTTTTACAATTTATAAGGGAAAAGGTGCTTCCAAGTATAATGTGAAATTTGAAATGGCTGTGTTGTAATTTTTAACAAAACACTTTTCTCACTTAAATGTTTAGTCTATAACTAAATTCTTAATGAGTTGGTTCCAATATAAATGTCACAGTACCAGGATTCATTCTAAGACTAGATAGACCTATGTAACTCTTTATAAGCAATAAGAAGAGAAGGAAGAGAATTAAGGGTTCTTATTATTAAATAACTACCATTTAAATCAAATTATCCTTTAATCCTTCTCTGATTGGTGACCAACAACACATTTTTTTCATTTTATGTAAATTTTAAGTTAAAAAGTAAGCTTCTTTTTTTAAAGTCAACTCTAGTATATAAGTGGGTCTTATCATTCCACTCTATAAAATTTGTTTATAAACCTTGGTACTTCAAAAAGAATGTTAAGTAGAATGTATAAATGATTTATTTTTAGCTAATATGGGTATTGGTTCTTTACTTCGAAATAGCATACAAAGCGTTTTTTTAACTTATCCTTCCTAAATTATTTTCCTAGTGCTTAATAGCAGTTTAATAGTTCTTAGAATCAGTCTTTTTGGCATTCACCTTTGGTTGAGCATTAAGTAATCCCTTAAAATCTGATCTTTTCTCTCAGTTATGTAAAAACTATATTGATACTTTTTAACTTCCAATGTATCTTGTTCATAGAGTTAAGTAAAGTCATCTTTAATGCCCTCCCTCCCTCCCTCTCTCCCTCTTTGCTAATTTTTCCTTTCTTTCAAGTTTATCTCAACTATAAAGGCTTCTCAAACAACAGAGCTTAATGTGAAATTCTGTGTCACTTTTCATTTTTGCATAATCTTGTAGCATTCATCTAATGAATTACATGCAAGATTGGAGCTCTAAAATTCTGTGGCACTATGGCTTTCGTGGGTTCAATAAGATTGTGTGTCCTAAGGAATCAACCCTGTTTCTTACTCTACTCTCACAATGTCCAGCATACTTCCATCTGAATTTGTATATTATTTTAGCAAGTCAAATTAGTGCCCATAAGCAAATTTTTACTTTCAGTGGCAACAAGAACCATTTCACAAGTTAAATAATTTTATCTGTATTAATATTTTTCAACATTATATGTAGTAGCTGATCTTGACTGATACCAAAAGGGAATACTAGACTGTGAAGTACACCCTACATTTATAGAGTACCTCCTGTGTGCTTCACATTGAAAGCCATATTGATGAATGAGACCAAGTACCTGTCCTCAGGGACTTCTTAGGTTAGTATCAAATTTGTCATAGTTGAATATTTTATTTTATTTGCTAAATATTCATTTGTAAATTAGTGTTCTCTTTTTATAAACCTTTCAGATGGATAAAGGAATAAGAAAAGCATTTTTAATTTAGATGCTACTAAAGCAAATCCATGATCACCATTTTTTAAATAAAAGCATATACTTTCTAAACTGTTTCTAAATTACTTCAGGAGAGACTTTGTTTTAATTTTCTAACATTTCCTCTGAAGTGATTATTAAAGTTACAATACGAACTTCATGAAAACCAGCTATTTTCTAAGGAGAAAAAAATATCTTCAAAATATTTCTGAAGTTGGCTTTGATTTTCAGTTATTTCTAGCAAGCATAATGGTGTGTCTAAGCTGGCAATGTACAGATGAATATGATACTGCTATCAACTCCTAAGGAGAGCTCCACTTTGGCCAAACAACCTACCTTTCTTACCTTTCTAACATCCTGGTTCCTTTATAGAATTTAAATTGTGATGTGTTGCCATTGTCTCAAATTTTAATAAAACATGCCTCATTCAGAATCCTTGCATTTTCTCATCATGTAAAACTCCATGTTTATTGTTAAAACTGTTTACGTCCTTTGATGTTATTAGTGTTAATTTAATAAACTAGAAGATAGTTTTTAATCCTAATACTGGTTTATGTTCATATACTGCATAAATTAGGTAATTAGAATATCAAGAAGATTGTTTTCAATTTTTTCTAAGCATTTTTAAGATAACAGCATAGCTATAAATGGCCTTAAAGTCTTTTTTATTACATTATACCCAATCAATACACTCCTAGTTGTTGTGGTATTATGTTTAAAATTATCAGACAGCTAAGCCAATTATTTAAGTATACTTAGAAGACAAATTTAATGACAGAACACAATATGTTTGAAGCAGATATTCCGAAGTGACAGTAATGACAACCAAGATTTCTAAATAGATCAAAGAAGAAACTAATGCCCACTGAGTAAACCCAAGTATATATATTTTAATAATTACTTACAAATGTAGAAAAATGGTTCTCAGTCTTCACTGCACTTTACATTTACCCAGGGAATCTTTCTCATAGAGGCTGCTCATATGAGGTTGCAACCCATTTCTATGCTTTTAGAACCTTAGGAATTGGATCATCAGTGTTTTCAAAGTTCCCCTCAACTAAAGCTAAAGAGCAACCAAGATTCAGAGCAAGGAAGAAAAATCCACTATGATTTATTAATGTGTATCATAGTCAGAATTCGTTATATATATTCTTCCCCAAGAAGATTATTTCAAGAATATTACTTTTACCCTAGTCAGAGACTGAGTGGTTGGAATTTACATTAAACAGATTATCTTTGATCATGCAGCCTTTTTACTTGTCCTTTATTTCTTGTACAAAAAGTGTAGAATCCACATTCCTTATTTCATGCTGTAGGCTATATGTCTGTCCAATTAGTAAAAGAAAGAATAATCCAGTTATGGTGTAGCATAATTGTAGTACTCTGGAAGGTTGAGACCAGAGAATTACAAGTTTGAGCCCAGCATGGGCAACTTAGCGCAAGACTGTCACAAAATAAAAACATTCAAGAAGGAAACTAAGAATGGAGCTCAGTGTGAAGGTTTTGGGTTCAATCCCCAATCACCTATACACACACACACACACACACACACACACACACAAAACACAGGATTACAGTGCCTGACATTA